GACCGGACCCAGCACCGACCCCTGGGGAACACCGCTGGTTACAGGTCTCCAACCAGACTCTGCATCGCCAATGACAACCCTCTGTGCTCTGCCAGTCAGCCAGTTCTCAACCCACCTCACTGTCCACTCATCTGTCCCGCACTTCCTCAGCTTCGTTATAAGGATGTCGTGGGAGACAGTGTCAAATGCCTTGCTGAAATCAAGGTAGACTACATCCACTGCTCTCCCCCCATCCACCCAGCCAGTGACAACATCATAGAAGGCTACCAGGTTGGTCAAGCACGACCTCGCCCTGGTGAACCCAGCTGACTGCTCCTGATAACCTCCTTTTCTTCCAGTTGTCTGAGATGGCATCCAGCACAAGCTGCTCCATCACCTTTCCAGGGACAGAGGTGAGGTGACTGGCCCGTAATTACCTGGATCTTCCTTCTTGAAAAATTGGGGAAATCGCAGGGGGCAGCACATATGGAGTGCAGGGGATGAGCCTCGCCCTGGGAAAACCACCTGCCTGATCATGGTGTCTCCCCTGCCAGGGAAGTATGAGCTGACACCTGCTGGGATCTGCTGGGATCTGGAGCCACCTGGGGACATTTGGTGGCATCTGCTGGGACCTGATGGGTTCTGGTGGGATTCAATGGCACCTGGGGCCGTTTGGTGGCATCTGATGGGACCTGGTGAACTCCAGTGTTGCCTGAGGACATTTGCTGACACTAGATGGGATCTGCTGGGATCTGGTGGCACTTGATGGCATTTGGTGGCATCTGCTGGGGTCTGGTGGCACCTGGTGGCATTTGGTGGGATTTGATGGGATGAGGTGGGATCTGGGGGCACCTGGTGGGACCTGGTGAGATCCAATGGGACCTGATGGGATCTGATGGGATCTGGTGGGACATGGGGACAACTGGTGGCAGCTGATGGCACTTGGTGGCACCTGGTGGGATCTGATGGGACACGCTGGGTTCTGGTGGCACCTGAGGGGACACTGGGACAAATGATGGGGGCACCTGGGGGCGTTTGGTGGCACCTGATGGGATTCTGGCTGCACCTGGTGGGATCTGGCAGCTTCCGGTCAGATCTGGTGGCACCGGATGGGACTCAATGGGATCTGATGGGACCTGGGGACATTTGGTGGCATCTGATGGGATCAGATGGGATCTGATGGGACCTTGGGGCACCTGGGGACATTTGGTGGCATCAGATGGGATCTGGTGGCACCTGGTGGGATGCAGTGGGATTCAGTGGGACCTGGGGACACTTGGTGGCACCTGGTGGGATCTGATGGGATCTGATGGCACCTGGTGGCACCTGGAGGCTGTCACATATCCTGTGTCACAGCCCCACACGTGTCACATATCCATGTGTCACATATCCTGTGTCACAGCCCCACACGTGTCACATATCCATGTGTCACATCCCCACGTGTCACATCCCCACATCACGTCCCCACACATCATATCCCCCACATGTCACGCCATCACATGTATTACATCTGCACATGCCATGTCCCCACGCGTGTCGTATGCCCACACGTCATACCCCATGCGTGTTATACCCCCACGTATGTTATACCCCATACACGTTATACCCCACACATGTAATATCCCCATACATGTTCTATCCCCATGTTACATCCCCACGCATGTCATATCTTCATGTGTCGTACTCCATACATGTTGTGTCCCCACACATTATACCCCCCACACGTCATACCTCACACGTGTACCGTTCCCATACATGTTACATCCCCACACGTATCATATCTCACACGTGTCATATCCCACACGTCACACCATCACACGTGTCATATCCCACACGTTGTGTCCCCACACGTGTTATATCCTCACACGTGTCATACCTCATACATGTTACATCCCCACACGCGTCCCCCTCTCACACGTGTTGTGTCCCCACACGTGTCACACCCCACACACATGTTGTGTCCCCACACGTGTCTCACCCCATACCC